TACAGAATCAGAAGGAAAAGCCAAGGTCAGGAGCAGTGCCGAAGTCAGGAACCAGTAACAGGAGAGTAATCGAAGTTGGGTCAGGAACAAGCCGCGTTGGTAACAGAGGAATCGTACAGGAACAAGCAGGACACGAGGGGGAGCTGAAGACCAGTCAGCACTGAACCTGAGCAGAGGCACTCCTTAAATTGGCCGTCTGGCGCCAATCTTCGCCGTGCGTGTGCACGTGCACGATCGCGCATTCCTGCTCGCATGCGCACAACTGCCAATTCTTCTGCGGGAATTCTATGCGCATGCGCGTTCCCGATCGTGATTCTTCTTGCCGGAAATCCCTTACATTTAGTGTAGATAAGGGAAACAAGTGTTTTTCTCTCAGGCCTCTTATTATTACCCTTATTATTGTGGACTGAATGCTCACAATTTGACGTCTATACCCAGCATAGGTCCCTAACCTGGGACAAGCATGTAAATCAAAATAATAGAAAATAAATCAGACCTCTTGAGTGGGCTGTTGAAGGAGGTAAGTAAGCACCTGCTACCCCCACACAGATGCTTACTTACCTCCTTCAATGCCCTCCTACTTTGTCTAGATCTCAGTATGAACATTGTGCAAACTTAAATGGGATGTTGCTCCTGCAGTACGAGTATGTTTCATTCAAGTCTATGGAATGTAAGTGCGCAAGAGTGGTCAGCCTTGCACTAGACTGTTACCTAATGTAGAAATTGTAGTATGTTACTGTTAGGGAAATAGGTAAGTACTTGTGGCAGTGGATGGCTCAGCATAGTGTATTGAGGATGCTTGGAAAGGGGCTGTTTTTTTTTTTTTTATTAGAGATACTCAGTACTGAGCAAAGAAAGAATCTGAGAATGAGACTCAACCTGTGAGCAGAAAGCATCCATGACAAGTTTAGGGCCCTGGATTTATGGGTTCCTAGGATGTTGTAAAAGATAGATAAACATACTATATGTGCAGTTCTCCAATGGCACCAGCTTTTATTGTTTAGGATGACCACATGTCTGCTTGACTAATGCCACTTGCACCTTAGTGCATTTTAATCTTTAATCATCACATGAACTGCTCTAAAACAAACAATAAAACTGTATCAATAACAAAATATTGCCTATATGGTAGTAATAACTCTTGCACTATGATAATGTAACATACTCAACAGCTTGTGCTATTGTTTAAAACAATGTCTTGAGAGCAATATCTTAATCACAAATTTCTAAGTTTACAGTACATTGAAATGACCATGTTGCAAACAAGAAGACTATCAACAAAAGGTTAATCTAAGTCTGCTGTGCGATTAAAAATCCCTGGTGTGGCTTAGGGCTGGTAATAGTGTGAAAGCCCACCAGGCATTGAAGACACACTTCACATTACAAGTGAGCTGTTCCATCATCATGTCTATAAAAGAATTTGAAAATTAATGTAGGTCTTAAAAAGCAGATGACTTTTCATTTCCTTCCCCTTTCCTGCATGATCAATTTTCTTCACCTCGCTTGGCATTTGTAAAGGTTTAGAAGTGTCAGTGGAACTTAGATGAGCTCGTGATGTAGTCTGATTAAATATAGGCGCTTTTCAATTGTTCAAGGACACTGAATAGGACAATACTGATATTCTACATAAACATTAACATCAGAGTATTTCCGGAGTCCTTTATATAAATGTTTTATATAAAAAAAAAAGAAGGCATACAGTCTTCCATAGTTTATCTTTTCTAAACCTTTCTGGTTCAATTTTTTTAGAAAATATTAGATGAATAAACAGTTATGGGTATACTGCACAGAAAACAGGAAACCCTGCAGCGCTGTGACCTCAGAAAATGAGATTTCCAAGCATAATTTCCCATGTTTCCATATAAAACAGGACATCTGGTAACTTATGTTAAAGCATATGTAAACCCCAAATCTATTTTTCGGTATGTTTGGCACCATGCCTTACTGTATACAGTTTTCCTAAGCAAATATTGTTTTCAAATATGTTGCAAAGTTTCTTACCTGGAGATCCTGCCAGCACAGACTGACAACATTAGGCTGCTGCCTTGCAATTAGAATTGTGTTGTCAGCCTGCTGTTTACACTTCTTCAATTGATCACTGGGCTGCCTATCAGGTTTACCAGATAGGCAGCCCAACATCCAACTAAAGGAGCTCTTACAGGAGGCTGACAACACTGTTCATAAATTAGAGGCAGTGGCTTAACATTGTCAGACACTAACAGCAAGTTATTGGCAGGATCCTCAGGTAAGAAAGGGTAAAAAAAACCAAAGTTGCTTAAAAACTATATATAGCATGATGCTAGGCTCACAGAAATTAAAATGCATGATTTATATTTACCGTACTTGTTTATTGAAGTAATAAATATTAGAATTACTGACATTTCAGATTTGGGGGTAATATTGGTGAATTATGCCAAAGCCTGCAGATATATAAGAAATTATCTACATTGGTCTATACTGCACATACAGTCATGGCCAAAAATATTGGTACCTCTGCATTTCTGTCAGATAATGCACCACTTCACCAAGAAAATTGTTGCAATTACAAATGTTGAAGACCCCACTGCTGACACAGAAACAACAAAGCCAGATTGCAGTTTGCCTAAAATTACCCGAGCAAGTCAAAATCCTTTTGGGGGATTATGTGCCAAAACAAAATGACAGCTTTTTGGTAAAGCCCATCATTCTACTGTTTTCAGAAAAAGAAATGATGCCTTTAAAGAAAACAATACAGTCCCTACAGTCAAACATGGCGGAGGTTCACTAATGTTTTGGGGTTGCTTTGCTACTTCAGGTACTGGATGTTTTGACCGTGTGCATGGCACTATGAAATCTGAAGACTACCAAAGAATTCTGGGTTGTAATGTAGGGCCCAGTGTCAGAAAGTTGGGTCTTTGTCAGAGGTCACGGATCTTCCAGCAGGACAATGACCCAAAGCACATGTTAAAAAGCACCCAGAAATGGTTTAAGACAAAGCGTACTGAACTGGTTAGCAATGAGTCCAGATCTCAATCCCATAGAGCACCCGTGGAGAGATCTCAAATTAGCAGTTGGGAAAAGGAACCCTTCCAATCTGAGAGACCTGGAGCAGTTGGCAAAAGAAGAAAAGAAAATTCTGGTAGAGAGGTGTAAGCAATTCATTTATGGTTACAGGAAGCAATTTATTTCACTTTTCTCTTCCAAGGGGTGAGCTACCAAATATTAAATTGAGGGTGCCAATAATTTTTTCCAGTCCATTTTTGGGGTTTTGTGTGGAATGGGTCAGATTTGGCTTTTTGTTTCTCCACTTTTTTTGTGTCATACCAATACAAACAAAAAAATAAACATGAGAATGCCTAAACATTTGTCAGAGTGTCTGACAGTCTGAGGTATTTAGTAAGAGACAGGGTGAGTTTTTTGAAGTTATACTTTTTTGTCACAATTTTTTGGTAAATAAAGAAATTAAACATTTTTTTAACATACTGTCACTGGGGCAATATAGCATCATTATATGACGGTGATCAGGGATACTGACTGGTGACAGTATATTAAAAAAATGTAAACATTTTTATTCATTTTTTTAACCTTTGAAACATTTTTCTTTTAACTTTTTTTTTCTTTTTGTACTATTTTTTTTTACATACTTTCATCAGAGTAGTTCAATGTCACCATAGGGGGGGGGGGGGGGGTATCAAGGATTTTTTTTTTTTTACACCATTGAATGCCGTTACAGTGATAATTACTGTAACAGCAATGTTTTGAACTGTCATTAATGGGTTACATTCATAACAGCTGTGATTACTATTTTGTGCTATGATTGGCCCACAGCTATCCCATGGTACAGGATACTGTGATTGGCCCAGGTACCACGTGATAGCTGTGGGCCAATCACGGCATCACTATAGGAATCACAGTTGGTATTAATTAAATATATTCACAACAGCTTTGTTGACATTATGATCACATGATCCCCGGCTGCTTAAATTGGGTACTGGGAGCTGAAGACACAGGGGTTGTGGTAGCGACACACTGATCATCCTAGGGGGTACGCTACATGCCTCTTGGCTGGTGACGTACATGTACATGACCCAGCCTGCCCGTGCTGCCAGACTGCAGTAAATGTACTGAGGGCAGGCAGGCAGGAACTGGTTAAAGCCCAACTCCAGCCGAAATGTTTTATTTTAGTTAGGATACAGGCTAAGACTAGATTGTGGAGGTGGTTGCCGCTGTGGGACCACATCTGCTCCTGCAGCCGCAACCACCCACACAGAAAAATACACTGCCACTCAGGAGATGCGTGGGGATGCCATTAATCCTATTGGCACTCCCATATGCTGAAAACAGTAACTCCTTTATCCTGTGTTTTATATATATATATATAGCAGCCCATTCAAATGAATGCACTAGCAACACAGCTGCAGGGAAATTGTGAACCTAGCCTTAGGAAGAGTAAGTATTTCTGTCAAGTTGCTACTGCTGTCTGTGATCCCATTGCGGAAATATCAGCTCAGTTCCTGCCCTTATGACAGAAGGACAAGAAATATGGTGACATGAAACATGAACTGTGATTCTAACCTTTTCCATGGTGCTGAAACCTGTCCTAAGAGGCAGGAAGTACTTTACCCTTGTAGTCCTAACTCCTGCAAGGGCTGCAAGATTTGTCCCAGGTTCTTTTTCTAGATGTGTGCAACAGCAGCCAAGCACACATGGAAACATCCACTCTTCCAACTCAATGAATCGTCTAGGGGTTGCCTTTTTAAAATGTATTGCTAAGTAACTTGGATAGGGCATAGGGAGCTGTAGGATACTCCAGAATGCTGAAAAGTAATAAGAGGTAAGTTCTCACTCTAGAGCTACTTCTTAGAACAGTCCTGTCAACAATAGCTCAGGGAACAGACATCAGTGGGACACCATAAGCAATGACCCAGGCCAGACAAGCCTTAAAGTTTTACTAAACCCAGGACTCTGTATTCACTATATCTGGTCTCCCACAGTACATAGAACATAAAAGTGAAATTAATTTAGTAGATATAAAGTGCTAAATACCTTTTCTCATCAGCAGTTAGAGCTGTCTTGTGACTTCTATCAGTGTCCAGTTCAGCACATATTAAAGCTCATAGGAGGAGTTTTCTGTCTGCTGTAGGAGGATGCAGAACCCCTGACCTCTGTCTGGAAAGTGATGATTGGCCCTATGCTGATAACATACACTCTCCCAAGAAGAAAAAAAACCTTTCGAGCAATACACACCAAACTGAGCATGTGCAGATAATGTCCACATGATATATTTTATCAGGAGATAAGAGGGGGACACTGAAAGAAGGGGAGGATCACAAAAGTCAGGATCAAACAGCCTTTTTACATAATACAGAGGATTAATCCCTTAGGTTCCACAGCATGAGTATAACAAGCATTCTTAACTGCATATACAGACCAATTTTACTGTTGTGGGTTTAGTAACACTTTAATATTAGTGCACCAGGGCAGCAGCAACAGTCACCCACATCCTGCGCTTAGGTCTGTGCTCATGAGTCCTTGGGAATTTGAATGCCTCTCAGAGAGTCAAGCAGACATTTCCATAGTCTCCAGACCAGATCCAAGCTAAAATTCCCCTTCTTTAGCTTCAGATTTTCTTAGCAAAATAGGCTCTGCAGCTTAGCATAGCTGGGACCTTGATGAGCTCTTGGTAAATGTCAGCTGGGTTGCCTGAGAGGGCAGTAGCCCTCCAGGCTGAGCACTTCTCCTCCTGGGCAAAAAACAGGGCAGCTTCAGGCTATTTATGCTCACACCCAGCCATCATCTTGGCACCCTCTGCCAGGGATAAGTGGAGACAACACAGATATTCAGCTGCTGATTTGCCTCAGCCAGTCCATTGCATTCCAGAATCCTCCAGAAGGCAGGGATACGCAATCAAACCTGAAGCCAGTGAAACCCAGAATAGCCCAAAGCAATCACAGGCTGCTCAACCGACACTGGAGAGCCACAAAAACTAAAATTACATAACCTAACTAGCAGCCTATCTAGGAGGGTGTTATACCCTACTGTACTGAAAAATGTCCAAAACAAAAAGATGCCTCCATTTCATTCTTTCATAACGTTACCATAGTTGCACCACAAAAACCTGTTAGTGACAGAACTTAAAGTGGTTCTAAAGGCTAAAGATTGTATTTTATTCTTAATGCATTCTCTGCATTAAGATAAAAAAAAACCTCTCATTTTCAGCTCCCCCTCAGGCCCCATAAATACTTACCCGAGCCCGATCTCGATCCAGCTGCTCTCTCTCTCTCTCTTCTCACTGGACATGGAGCTCACTTGGCAGCAGTGGGAGACATTGACTCCTACTGCTGTCAATCAAATCAAATCCTGTGAGGAAAGACCAGAGGCCGGGCCAAGCCATGCTGGGTGTGTCAATAGATGCTTGCAGCCTGGATTTGGATTGAGTTTGCGTGTCTGCCCCCATGGGGACAGACAGAGAAGAGGAGGAGCAGAAAGTGCTGAAGAGGAACCCCAGAGGAGGAAGATTGGGGAAATTTGCACAGAGCACGTAAGTATAACATGTTTATTATTTTAATAAAAAAAAAAACAAAAACAAACCCCCCCCCCAAAACTTAACCTTTACAATCGCTTTTATATGTCATCAGAGCAATGATTTATCCCTTTGGGATATGCTTATGGTTAATGGCTAGTCAAAAGTTTGAGTTAGATATTAGAGCCTCTAAGAAATCTACGTCTGTTGTTCCATTGATTTAGCTAACCCACAGTGCTCTTAATATTTACTTTAAAAGTAAGTCTGTGTATATTGTGAAAACTTATATGAAACAGAAAATGTTAAAACTTAAAAAAATAGAAAAAAACAAAATAACATGGACCCGAAACCATTTTAAAGTGGAGCTAAACCCAAAAGGGAGAGTTCCGCTCCCCATTAAGGATTGGCACCTTTGGGGAGCGGGTACCCAAAACTGATAGGTACCCCGCTCCCACTTTCGCTGTGATCGCCTAGGCGATCGTAAGCGGAAGTTGTCCTCCCCCCTCCCTCCCTGTAGTCTTCTGGGACACATGACAGGTCCCAGAACACTACGGGACCATTCATGAAGTACAGCGCTACTCGCACATGCGCAGTGGGTACCCAGCTGGTAAGTCGCAAGCTGTCACAGCCGGGTGCCCACAATAAAGATGCCGGCACCTGGAACACCAGACTGCCGGTGAAGCGGGCTGCGGGGAGGACACTGCGGGATCGTGGGACAGGTGAGTGGCTGTTTTTTTTTTTTAAAAGTCAGCAGCTACAATTTTTGTAGCTGCTGACTTTTTTTTCACAGTGTGACTGGAACACCATTTTAATTTTCCTGTATCACAATGTTGAAAATCTGAATTTCAAATACAAATTGGAATTTTCAAAATGCAATGTAAACTGTTAACTTACTGAAACCCTCACAATTAACTCCATTGATTGTGTTAACAGCTGGCCGAACAGCAGTAGAATTTTGTTCAAAAATTTTTGTGTTTGGTAATGTTTGTTTTTCTAAAGGTAAGGGGATCAAATTGACAGTATTGATAGGAAAATATTTTCTGAGTGAACGAAATTCTAATCAAGGTCTTGGATGTGAGGCCTGTAACTGACAGCCTAGCTTCATCTCCTCTATGCTGTGCAAGAGGCAAAAATGCAGCACAATTGGGAAGTAATTACGTCTCTACCTAGACATGAAAAATTATAAATAATAAATTGCTAGTATCTGAATTATAACTGGTTTTAAATGCAAATATTCTTCAATAAAAGACACACCAATACTAGCCATAAATTGCCTAAGTGACTATAAGGAAGCCATACAGGTATATTGAATGCATCCTAAGTTTTTAGCCATTCTAGGCTAAAGGGGTCTAGAACAAGATACGTTAATGTTTTCAGTTGCATCACTGGAAATCAGCTATGTGTGTGCAAATGCTGTATCTATCTCAGGGGGGTATCTGCCGCGAGGCAAACAAGGCATGTGCCTAGGGCGCTTGTTTTCAGGGAGGTGGCGCTACCCCCAGGCAGAAGGGACAAGGGACCAGGACTTGGCAGGTCGGGAGAGCTCGGCAGTGCTCAGGCGGGAGGCAGGGTTTTTTTGCAGGGGGGCAGGCTCAGCAATTCTCGAGATGGGGAAGGTGGGCTCGGCTTATGCCATCCTGAGTTCATGGCAAGCCAGCTATCTTACCCTCTCTGTGCCTCTGAGCGCTGATTCCTTGCTGCACCCACTGACATTAAGATCCGGCAGGAAGCCCATGGCGGAGCCTAGAGGTCAGCTGACCGTGAAGAGGAGGTGCAGGAGAGAAGACTCCATTGCTGCATGTCGGGTATCACTGCAGCAGCAGACACCACGGACCCCATGGACCCCAGATAAGTGCTGCTTTACTTGACAAATAGATGAGATGCTTTGGTCACTGTCTCTCTCTCTCTTACAATGTGAGTGATACTGGATAAGAGAAGGTAAGGTGAAGGCATCAGAGATCAGACATTTTATCTTCTGTTATCCTCTGTTCAGTATCACTCACATTGTAAGAGATAGACAGTTCTGACCAACAAGGTGTCCTGCATTTAACCACTTCCCGTCCGCTGTACATTTATGAACGTCCTTGGACAGGAAGGGTGATATCTTCGTCATTGCTGCAAGTGCAGCAATGATCAAGATAATATTTTTTAGCCCCAGTGATTTTGCACAAGATAAAAGTAATCCGGGGGCTAACAAGCCTCTGGATTACTTTTACAGGCGGCTGAAGGGCGACCCACCCCCTGCCACCACTGCCGCCTTAACCAGGATCTCCCGTGCAGTTGGAAAACCTGGTAAGGATGTGACCATCGGCATCCAGCTCTAGGCGGACAGCGGGAGGAACAAATTTTTTTTCTCCCACTGTGTGATGTCAGAAACAGAAAGCAACAAGAATTTTGTCACTTCCTGTTTTGACTGTTTGTTTACCTGGCCATTAGCAGCCAGTGAAGCAAGCGATCAGACTGATCTGTGTCTGATCGCATGCATTGGGAGGCCAGAGGAGAGATTTGGGGTCTAATAAAGAGGAACTGCCATGGCCCATGCTATCACAAGGGTTGTTGTTCATCGCTTGTAATAGAAATAAAGTTGATTAAAAAAAAGTTAAATGTACAGTGTTAAAAAAATAAAGAAATAATAAAATAGCAAACAAAAGTTAAAGCATCCGCGTTCCCCCGTGCTCACACTCAACATGCACATAGGTTCCTCATGCATATGTAAATGGTGATCGCACCACACATGTGAGGTACTGCCAAGAATGTCAGAGTGAGAGTAAAAATTCTAGCACTGGACCCCCTGTGTAACTCTAAACTGGTAACTTGTAAAGGCTCTTAAAATGTTGCCTATGGAGATTTTTAGGTAGCATAATTTGGCACCAAATTAGGTACCATAATTTGGCACCAGATGGCTGGCATGGGACAAATTGAGGTGGTGGTGGGGGGGGCTCCTGATTTTAGTCTTGTTGGGGGGGGGGGGCCCAATTTTAGTCTTGCCTAGGGCAACACAAAACCAAAATACATCACTGATCTACCTGTTTACCTATTCCTCCATGCTACTATTGTATCTAAATGTCACTACTGACCCGACTATGATCCTTCAAAACAGGCAATAGGCAACAGGTACACATTGTAGACTGAGCTAAAGCCTTCTATGCTGATGAAATATATGACTGCTTAAGAAATTTGGAGCCAGTCTCCAAGACTATACAATATAACCAACCGTGGTATAAGAATGTCAAGGTATACCAATACAATACGCTTACAAACATTATCTTGGGAATTAATTTCTGAGCAGATATTGGTTAGCTTTCAAAGGAAAGGCCAAGCTCATGCACGTCCTGACCTAAAACTTTTGGATAAGAAAAATGCGAACGAACATTAAAATATTGAAATAAAAATGACTGGGTTTGCATACACTATGCATGCTTTGCAAACACACCTCTCAATTCATCTTAAGGACACTTTAAAGTGTTACCAAACCCTGGACCCTGCATTCACTATAGCTGGTCTCCCACAGTACACACAACATGGAAGTGCAATTATTTTAGTAAATATAAACTGCTAAATACATTTTCTCATCAGCAGTTAGAGCAGTCTTGTGACTTCAGCTGAGCACTGGTTAAAGCTTGTTTGAGGAGTGATGGAAATCCCTTGAACTCTGTCTGGACAGTGCTGATTGGCCCTATGCGGATCACATGCACTCTCCAAAGAAAAAAAAACCTCTCTAGCAATACACACTAAACTAAGCATGTGCAGAAGGGCAAGGTTCAGTCTGTCTTATCAGCTTGGACATTTGAACAAGAGGAGAGGCAGAGAAGTCAGGATCAAACAG